AGTGCAATTTGGGAGCCTCATCACTAAAAGGAGTAACTTGTGGATGACCTGAGACAAAATCTCATTTGAGGGGCTTGAGAAAACCACACCAGCCACATGAGCGCGCAGCCCACTCTGAGCCCAGGTTGGGGCGAGCAAACATGCTTCTTGTTAGCATCTGCCTGTGGTTTTTCAGCCCTGTGCTTCACCACAGGCCTTTCCTCTGGCACTGCACACAGGGCTCGGCGAGAGCCGAGTCCAAGCCAGGCAGGACTTCAGCCTGAGCCGCAGCTGAAAGGTCACAGCATCACCATGTCAGCCATCACACAGTGGGCAGAGAAGCAACCATGCAGAGCTGCTTACAGCGTCCCAGCAGCTTAATTTCTTTAGTAGCCACAGAGTAGGAGTTGTGGCATGACATTTAGGAAAGGTTTTCATGGATAGGCCTTGAGCAGATCACATCACAAGCCATTCAGCTATCACTGTGCCCAACACAGGTTTTTTTCTGACATTCAATGGACACCAGAGGGACAGGAGCCAAAGCTAGTCCCCACTGGTGAAGTCACAGAAGCATCCAAAATAACTTTTCATCAATCTGTTGATCTCTTGTCATTATCTACTGGTGAGGACCTCCCTCTGCCTTTGCAGCAGGAGTCACCCACTAAAGGAATAGGATTCACAAAGGCCCAAAGGTGGCCTGTCCCCATGGGAGAAGTCAACACCTTGATGCCAAGCTGGACCACACAGCTCACTGTGGCAGCTCTCCCTCTGCTACTACAAGCTTACTAGAGATGCTGTAGGAGTTATGTGAGGTCATTCACAGAGTAACATTAACCATTGTGGACTATAGCAAAAAAAGGGATTGATGAGATGGATTTGTCCCCACGAACGCACCAGCGGCCACACTAGAGCCAATGCAGTGATGAATGGTGCCAGCAAAACAACAGCAGTCCCAGGGGAAGGACGTTTCCCAGGTAAGCCCTTCAGGCAGCCTTGGGAAGAGGATCTCCAGGGCAGGTGGCTCTGGTCAGCAGCACTCCGCAAGAAACTGCAATATTGGCAGCAGTGCTGCCTGTCATGGAAATCTCATGTCTGTCTTTCACAAATCCTCTTATTTCATTAGACGGGTGAAAATACAACAGGGAATTCCCAAGCCTGGCCAAGTGACTACATTTAACCAGACAAATGCCAAAGTTACTGTTCTTCAAAGCAGGCACATGTGCTCCACACTGGCCAAAACCAGCCATTCCTGAGGTTTACCTGCATTTAAAGCTGGAAAAAACCTTTAGTTTAAGATGTCAGTTAGCAGAGCACAGCTTAAGCCTCAGGGTTTGGGCAGCCCTGATTCCTAGAGCCTCTGGCTGTGCCACTGCTGTCATCTGTGCCCAGGTGGCAAAGAGCAGGACAGTGCAGGCAGCTGTCAGCAAACCAGGAATAGCATTTCTTAATATCAATATTACAGTGCCCATCTTGTCCTTCTGCTCCAGGGAAAGGGTTTGCTAAAATATGACATTCAATGGCTTCTCCCCTCAGCTCTGCTGCTGTGTATGTGTAGTGAGTACATAAGTCTGTGTCTGCCAGATGCACACATCTGTATGCACATGCAGAGTTTGCACACACACGTGCATATTTCTACAGAGTGTAGGGTAGACAGTGGCCCCCAGGCACACAAGCATCCTCCTAGCAAGCACATACTTGGCCACACATAATATTAACACATCAGCATCTCCGCTCACTGTTTCCCTCCCAGAAGGAGCTGTAGAAAATCGAGCGACGGAGACATTAATATTTGCTGACTCAAGGGCTCCACCAGGAGGAAAAAACAGCCCAGATCTTCCGCTCAGAAAGGCCAGAAGGAAGACACTCCTCTGGCAGGCTGTGACTGGCAGGGAGGCCACACTGGCTCTGTAACAACGTTCAAAGGCAAGGAGGAGAAATGTGGTGGAACTGGATCAGCACAGTGTCAGCTGGCCAGGGAGTGGCCACAACTCCAGGAGTGCTGCCACACACACGGAATCCTCATCTGCTGCAAAACTCTTACCAGCAACACAGCCCCTGCACTGTCAACAGTAGGAACGAGGTAGCCAGGTGCCCTGCCTCCACCCACTTTCTTTTCTTTCCAAGCAAGGGCTGGGAATAGTCACTGACCTACTGTACTCCACGGTAATTTCATGGTCAGACCACAGGGCTGGGACCACACTCTCTGCTTGTGGCTATAGCTAACCAAATCATGGCTTTTACTGGGAGGCACATGTCTGCTTGAATAGCAACAGTGGGAGCTACAGAGGCCATTTGGAATTTAAAAGGTGCCTCAGCTACTATTGCAGCCCCAGAGACAAGTTTCTGCTCACCTTAACCATTGCAGACATGCTCTTCACCATGAGACAAACCCCTCCAGAAGCATCTTCTCTGTCCCACTGACTACAGTGTGAGTCACACACCAGCAGTAGACTCCACCCAGAGCACACAGACTACATATACTGCAGGGAAGCATAAAAACTTATCTCACACACATCCCCAGTAGGATTTTTTGAGCGTGATGGTCTCAGCACAAGACATGCAGAGCCAGACCCAGCTTGTCTGCCAAAGCCCTCAGAGGCTCATGGGTTTCTGCCCAAGACCCAGCACTGGTCAGAGAGAAAAGGACCTTGTGCACTTCACAGCTGTCTCAAGGAGGCATAAATGGGCAGCAGGGATAAGACTTTTGAACTGACAACCCCAAGGACACTGTCGCCAATCAGGTGTGATCACGTTAGCTCAGCCCCAGCTGCCCAGTGCTTGGCTGCAGGCATGATGCTATGCCCCGGCAATCAGGGGGCCTGACCTGAGGGCATGATGCCCTTGATATATCAGGTACCACCCACGGAAAAGACATTTTTGGAGTGTTTCTTCATTGAATCTTAGGGACTTCCAAGAGATTTCTTCTTGAAAAACAAACAAAACCACTTCTTTGCTCTGCAAAGTTCAAACCCCATTCCCAGGAACAAGTAACATCCAGTCAAGAGTTCCCAAAGCACACGACAATGTATGGAGCACTTGTAACTTTCTCTCCCACAACCCAAAAGCTGTGAACACCGACTTACGCTGTCGCAGCACAATTTTATCATTTCACAAGAAAGCATGTAACTTGCAAAAAAAGGCGTTGCTCCTCTCCACTTCCAAGTTTTATTGAAACTACACACGTAATTTACACACAAATTGAGTGGGAGCTGTTGTACCAGACTTTGGTATCTCATATACATTTACAGAACCTGAGCACATTGCAGTTTCATATGTGAACACACTCTTCTGAATTCATAACACCCAAAACAAATGCTTTTTATCACTTTCAGTGACACAAAAAAAGGTTCCACTACTCCAACAACAGACCCATTGCAGTATTTTCTCTTTCTCTCCTAACACCACAGTATTTCAAAAAGGTGCTGGATTTTCTCTCCTAGTCCAGGATTCTCTTGCAGTTGCAGGATGCTAGTGAGGGACATCAGTTCTAGCTTTTTTCTGTATGCTCCAAGTTCCCCTCTGCCCTCTTCCAAGTACCTTATGTCAAATGATGCAGGCTCTTCTCTAGGGGAAAAAAAAATAAAAGCTGTCCTGTTTCCATACTCAGGACATACTCATGATTAAGAGACAAACAAAAAAAACTGAGTCAGTTTTGCTGCTTATTTTTACAGCAGGGACAATTGTTTGCTAGGAACACTAAGGCAGTGGACCTGTTTCATGAAACTCAGCTACCCAGGGTTCTGGCTGATCTGGGCTGGCAGGGCAATAACACACCACCCCGTCACTGATAACCCTGGGCTGTCAGCTCACCTCACAGCAGGCATATAGAAAGCAGCACAAGATGTTTGCAACAGTAAGACTTACAAAAGCTCTTTCAAAAAATGCCAAGCATTATGAAAAATGCTTGGGTTTAATAAAGTTTAATAAACCCTTTGTCCAGCTTTTGTGCACTCGCTTCATCTTTGAAAAAAATGGACATATCTATTTGCAGATAAACCACCTACAACTGAATAGCATCCCTTCCACCCCAAGTGCCACTGCAGCATGTTAGCCATTCTTCAATTGCTCCATTCTCTGTGTCTGATGTCAAAAAATTAGTTTTCATGCACACACCAGAACACAGCAAACACCAAACAGCTCTCCTCTGTAAGATGATGCTAACCCATACTACTTCAAGGTTTGTTTTAGAAAGGTTTAATACCTTCTTTCGGAAGCTCTTCTATGACAATGGTTCCAATGGTTCACATAAAACACACACCTTCACAGATTACTAGTGCTTCCTTACAGCCCAAGTAGTATCTTTGTAGCATCTCAAGGGATAATCCCTTGGAAAGATATGTCCCCCCACCCATCCATGCACAAGTGAAACCAGGAAGGGGAGAATATCAGATCACCCAGCATGCCAGAGGGAAGATGGACAACACCCAGAGCTGGCTGTTCCAGGGTCAGATGCTGATTACAACCCGGTGCAACTACAGCCTGCTTAATAAGGCACTTGTTCAACGAAGCAAGGAAAAACAGGCAGCATAAGCCAAGGAACTACAGGATGTGGTTTGTCTCCACTGTTAACAGATGTGCCTTTTCAAGGACCGAAGTCCACTGGCCTGCCCAGTAACAGCCATAACACAAAAATCGCATGTATTGAAGCAAACACCTACCAAAAGCCATCAGTTTTGCATCCAGAGTAAAAAAGTTTTCAGGCAGAACCCATGTTAGTGGGTAGGTCAAACTGTATTCCTGGGTTTAATAATATTTTATAGTTCAGAATTCTTAATGTCTTCCCACATTCAATTACTACTTTATCTGCAGCAGGATGAAAAACAAGAGCTTTTACTCTAGACAAATCTATAAATATGAAAACAGAAAACATGAAAATAATTTATAGCAACATATATACATAGAGCGTATGTAGTAGTATCCAGGTAATTTTTAAAGACAGTGATGACAGCAGGTGAGCCAAGGGAATCTTAAAAAGCCCATCCTTTTACAAAGCCATAGAAATTTTTTAAAAAGGATTCCCTTTTTTTTTTTAGATGAGACAAAGAGAAATGTATTTACTTCTCTGACAAACAACATGAAAACCCAAGAAAAAAAAATCACAGTAGACTCTGACTGCAGGTGGGGAAATTAAGTCAATTTCACAGCAGAAAGGGAGATGACAAAAGGGAAACAGTCACCATTCATTTGCCAATTTGTCAAAAATCTGCATCCAAAGTGAAGACATTGTCCATTGATTCTGACATCACAGCAAAACGTTGGTACTCCGAAACCCTCTTCTCAAAGAAATTTGTTTTTCCTTCCAGAGAAATATTCTCCATGAAATCAAAAGGATTTTCTGCATGAAAGACCTGGGGAAGGAAAACACTATTACACTGGTGATTCTGACAGGGTAATAATGCTTTAGAAGAACCCAACAAACAAAATCAAACCCTTTCAAACTAGATCATCCCTGGCTGCAATATGCTGTAGGATCTCCGGACACCTATCTAAGCAAATGCAGTACTGCCACTCCCAGGAGATTGGTCTGTGGTGAAGTTCACCTGTGCAAGGTGCTTGTTGTTCCTTGAGGCCTGCAGCACTTGAGCACAGTGTAAGTTTCCCATTACAAACCTGCTGAGCAGCTGAAGGGAAACAATGGCCTAAATTGTTCTTGCTCTTTTAAACAGTGAAGCATATATATTAATGCTGTGGTTTCGACTGTCACTTACACAAAGTCCATGCACTAAAGATGACCTGCTCCCAGGCACGTTCAGAGTGCTTTGTGCTGACAGCTTCCCTGGGCTGTCCTGGCAGACCAGCATTTCAGGGAATTGCATCCCTTACCTTTGAGAACCCAAGCTCCATTAGCAACCGGTCTGCAACAAATTCAATGTATTGTTTCATCAAGGTGCAATTCATTCCAATCAGACCTACAGGTAATGCCTCCGTTAGAAACTCCTAGGAGTTAAAATACAGACAACATTTAGAGAATTGAAGTTTAAGAAGGCAAAGGAGAGAAGACACTTGTGTTTCACAGTAACATGATTTGTGATGTTCCAGGCTTCCCAGGCAGTTGTCTGAATAAATAACTTCCATCACTAAACTCAACAAGTGTCTTCTGTTTTCAGTAGCTGTTTGTATCTTCCTTTATTTTTAGCATGTTTTTCTGGAAAAGGCACAAGGATTCTTATTACTGCCCCTCTCATCTGCCTTTCCCCACTCCTCCAGCATCAGCTTCAGTGTAATCTTCAACTTCAGTAAAACCTACAGACCATACTAGTGCGAGCAGGAACAGATTCAGAAATCACCAGTTTTCCTCGGCTTTCAGTCATTATAGAATGACAGATGAGAAAGGATAGCAACACACGAGTGCTGAACCTAGCCATGTATATGTTTAGGGACTGATGCAATACCTGTCAGCACTGTGAGACAAAGCTGGGGCATTTGTCATCATCACAGTAGTTAGATGACAACTGAAAAGAAAGAGCAAACTACAATACTGCCAAACACTCAGTAGTGCAGAAACTTGTACCTGAAGATGGGTAGCACTTAATGTGAAAGAACCTGACACTAACCTCAGAAAAAGTCAGAACCCCACACAGTACACATGGCCAGAACATACCCTGTCTTCTCCCGAGGATAAGCAGAGATGTGTACAGCAGGGAGAGACAAAGATCATGAAAGGACAGAGATATGCAAACCCTTTTCTAAGAGATAGCTGCAGTTGGATTAGATGTTGTAGATCCCTTCCAACTGGAACTATTGTGTTCAATATCAAATAAGACAGCCGTTCTTCCTTTCAGTCCTTAAGGAGGAAACCAGCTGCCAGCTTCAGCTTCTTCCAGTTGCTTGACAACTGAATCAGAAGGTCTCTGGCTCTTATCGTCATCATTAAGGAAGAGGGAAAGGATGGTATCATCAGGGAGCCAGGCCTGAGCCAAGTATCAAATATGGAATCCCAAAGCTAGAAGAATAATTTGTTTATTTCACACATCAGACTGCTTGCACACTGCCCACAGTGCTGTCCCAGCCAGGCTTACCTGCTCTATTTCAACAGCATTAACAATGATCTCACGGACTCGCTCTTCTGATGGTCTGTTCACTAAATAATGGAACATTAGACAAGCAAAATCACAGTGTAGACCCTGAAACAAGCGAACAATGAAAAAAACAGTCAGTTTTTCCCTCCTCCACATAGGTCACTCTTACTTCAAGGTAGCCTTATTCAGGTTGAAGCTTCCTAGCCTCCTGCTTCTTTGACAGTCTTAATGTTACCACATGTAGCAGGCACTTAGTTTACAGCCCAGTGACATCTGAAAGCCAACTTACGCCACCCGTGCCAAAGTAACATTTAGCAGTTAGGTTTCTCAGGTAAAAATCTTTTGAGGGCTGCTCTACTGTGAGAGATCTTAATACACAGAGCCCTGCTGGGTCCCTGTCTCCTGTCAGAGATGATTTTGCATAGATTCCTACATCAAGACCTGCAAAACTGCCTGCCAGTTAACACAGACTTGTCTACCCGGTCTTTGTTTTGAGATACCTGTACTTGGTTTAAGTTCTTTTAGTACCATTTCTTCCCTTGCTTCTCCTTGCAGCATTTTCATTTCTGAAAATAATTTGGTCACCAAATCCAAGATTAACAAATTATCTCTCCATATAACATGCAGTTACTCTGACGAATTTGCTATCACAACATTAATAGGTTTAGAATACTTTATCGAGTACCATGCCCCAGCTATACCCACCTTCACATTTCACCCAGCTATCCTGCACAGAGCCCAGTAAACTGCTCATTTCCAGGATTTCCAGAAGAGTCCAGCCAAGACAGGACAACATCAGGAGATGAGCAATCCCTCACAGTCTGAGGTGGGGTACCAGACAGCTGCTCCAAGAAGTGTCTCAGTTTCTATTTGACTTGCCTGGCTACAGCTTGAGCCTCTGGCTTCAGCCGTACCCACCACTGCCAGACTAAAGGAGCACTGTGCCACCGTCTCTCCTCACAACAGCAAGGTGCTGATTACAGCCAATAAGCATCATGAGGGCACATCCAGAGTGAAAAACAATCAGAAGCATCTGGCAGTCTATGGGCTACAGACAACACAAACCAGTACTATCATTAACAAGGGTCAAAACAAAGCAAGGAAGTGAAAACTTTTTTGAAAAGGCTGTAAAAGCCTTGTGATTCAGGTCATGAAACAGCCCTGAAATAACATAATTTGGGAAATATCCCCCCATCTAGGGACAGCATTAGGTGCTGCAAGGCTTGCCATGGTCTTGTCCAGGGCAACATCACCAGGAGGATGCAGGACATGCCTAGCTTCTGACTGCTCTGCTGACTGGTGCTCCCACCAATTTTGAACCTCTAAGAATCAGAGATGCACCAGCACAAAGAACAGCCTGGGAACAGAGTCTGCAGCTCAAAAAACATATCGAGCATTGAACTTTTATCTGTTCAGGTGGATCAAGAAACAGTTTGTGGAGTTTTCCACTGCAGATTCTTTTTACTGCCACTGCTTCTGTAACAGCATTTCCTGGGTTTCAACGCAGGTGCTGCGTGCACTAAGCCTTACTCGTAACAGCAGTTGGAATTATGCCAGTGGAGCTCGAGAAAAATTCAGTCTTTTGGTGCCCAACTCTACAAAGTACAGTTACACTCATACACCAGCAAGTGATCCTTCTCACAAATAAATCCTTTCTCGCTCAAATGGATCAATTCATGACGACTCATAAAAGACAAAAGGAAGGTCAAGGCTGAAGAACCGTTTGGCTTTGCCTACTGATCATATCACTTTTATGTCTCATTTCAAATCAGTTTATCTAAGCCATGAAAATTACTTCTATTATGATAAAGCTCTTTATTCTCTTGTAAGTTACAACCACTAGCATGTTTATACTGCATACAAAGCTGATCTTTCTGCTTTTTCAGTGCTGACAGCCATGTAAGTAGCATGGTGCACAGGCCCCAGCCATAAGCCACAGCTGCCAACTGGCAGGCAGAAATGCAGGAAGCTGTGAAAAGAAAGGGCTCTTGCCAGCACCTGGCCTGCCACATTTGGTGTGCTGATATGCAGCTCCTCAGACACCTCACATCTGAAGTTAAGAAGCACTCCCCTTCAAGGCAAATCTGCAGTTGCCCCTTCCCAGGAGATCCTATTGCTGTGCAGCAACACAAGAACATGGACAGGAGTGATACCCACTGCTTATGCAGCAACCTGCCACAGCTGGCCTGGTGACAGATGCAGGCAGCTATCTGCAGGCTCTGATACACACAACCAGGAGCAGGTGAGGAGTGGTACGAAGAGGACACTCAAACCTGAATGAAGAGCAAAGCAAGGCTCTGACTGATAGAGGCAAAGCAAGGCTCAGTATCACATACCTAGCCAGGTCCTTGCCCCAGTCAGCCCCCACTGCAGTTGGAGACCATGCAATTCCACCCCTCTCCTTGAGCAGCCAGGTCTGTGCCTCCCTTCACAGCACAGGAAAACAAACATCCCCTTCATTCTTAAAAGTCTACCTTTTTGATAATACTATATGCATTGGGGTATCGCTAATATTTATGTTTACTCTATTTAAAAACAAGTATTTCTGCTGAGGGACCTAGCAGCACCTAGGCTTTAAGTGAATTAGAACTGTTTGCTGGGTAGAAAACTGGCTGGATGGCCAAGCCAAAAAAGTCATGGTCAATGAAATTAAATCCAACTGGCAGCTGGTCACAGGTGGTGTTCCCCAGGGCTCAGTTATGTTATGTTACATAAGCTATATATATGTTACTGGCCCCAGTAGGCAGTCCTGTTTAATATCTTTATCGATGATCTGGGCAAGGGGACCGAGTGCACCCTCAGTCAATTTGCAGAAGACACCGGATTGGGTGGGAGTGTTGATCTGCTGGAGGGCAGGAAGGCTCTGCAGAGAGATCTGGACAGGCTGGATCAATGTGCTGAGGCCAATAGTATGAGGTTCAACAAAGCCAAGGGCTGGGTTCTGTACTTGGGTCACAATAACTCCATGCAGTGCTACAGACTTGGGGAAGAGTGTCTGGAAAGCAGCCTGGTGGAAAAGGAACTGGGGTGCTGGTTAACAGCTGGCTGAACATGAGCTAGCAGTGTGCCCAGGTGGCCAAGAAGGCATCCTGGCTGATATCAGAAACAGTGTGGTCAGCAGGACCAGGGCAGTGATTGTCCTCCTGTACTTGGCACTGGTGAGGCTGCACCTTGAGTACTGTATTCAGTTTGAGGCCCTTCACTACAAGAAGGACACTGAGGTGCTGAAGAGTGTCCAGAGAAGGGCAACAAAGCTGGGAAAGGATCTAGAACACAAGTCAGTAATGGGAGTGGCTGAGGGAGCAGAGGGTGTTTAGCCTGGAGAAAATGAGGCTCAGAGGGGACCACATCTCTCTCTACAACTACCCGAAAGGAGGCTGTAGCAAGGTAGGAGTCAATCTCTCCTACCAAGTAACAAGCAACAGGACGAGGAAATGGCCTCAAGTTGTGTTAGATTAGCTATTAGGAAAAACTTCTTCATGGAAATTGTTATCAAACATTAGAACAAGCTGTCCAGGGAAGTGGTTGACTCACCATCCTGGAAGGATTTAAAAAGATGTGTGGATGTGGCACTTAGGGACATGGTTTAGTGATGGACTTGGCAGTGTTAGGTCAACAATTGAGCTCAATGATCTTAGAGGTCTTTTCCAACCTAAATGATTCTATGATTCTGTAATTGCAGCTACAAGTCTGCTACTTTCCCCTTTCTCTGTCCAGGCTATGGGTTCTTCATGAATATAGTTCTGCCCTTCCCCAGAAGCTCACTTTTCTTCCCAAACAGTGTGTAGGACAAGCCACATTACCTCATCTCTGCTAATAAGTTCATTGGAGAAAGTCAGTCCAGGCATTAGGCCCCTCTTCTTCAGCCAAAATATAGCAGCAAAGGAACCCGAGAAGAAGATGCCTTCCACTGCAGCAAAGGCAACCACTCTCTCACCTGTTCAACATAACACACTTTTAGTTAGACACAAATTACTGTATTGCTCATCAGCAAAATGCACGATTTATTTGCATCAGAAAGACTGATGCTGGAGAGGGGCAATCCCCTTTGCAGCACCAGGTGCTGTATTTGACCACATCCTTCAGCAGATCCCGAGGCATACAGGGTCTAACACACGCAACAGCACTTAACCACAGGTAACCCCAGCAGAAATGAAGAACCAGGGCACCTGCTGCAACTGCCACAGGTCAGAAGCCAAAGAATGTAATTGTCCAAAGTGGCCAAGACATTAGCACTTCATTATCTCTTTCTCCTGAAAGGCCGGAAAATGGCTGTGTAACTGACAGACAAAACTGAGAGAAGGGTCAACCTCCTATAAATGAAACAAAAAACCCTACACCTCAATTTCTGCATGTTGAGAATCTACTTAAAACTATATTCTTACAATACTGGAAGAGAACAGAACATAATTCATCATGGCACAAATAACTGTTGTCCCACCTTTCATCCAAGGAAAGCACAGCATTATTGGTCCCAGTTCTCCCTCTTCTCTATAGCAGTATATTTCTTCAGACTACAAGACCATCTGACCACTTAGTGAAGACACATCATTCCATGTACACTATTTTAAACAGCTTCACAAGATCCTTGGGTATATTCTAACATGAAGAGCTTTTGCACTAAGTGAGGGTGCCTTTTCCAAGTGAGAACTGTATGGAATTTTGTTTAAAAAATAAAATAACCCCAAAATAGCCAGAAGTTCCACTTCCTCTGTGAGATACAAATTCCAATTGCTGGCTCATCTGAAGAAATTCAAGTTAGGAAAAAAGCATGGAGAGATCACAAACTTAGGAGTATCACATAAGTTTTTAAGGAAATACATTTTCTGGCAACACTAAAAATCTCCTAGGTTACTTCTGCAGAGGACTGGAGGAAGCTGCTCATACAATATAAGTTTAATGAAGCACAGAACTGAGTATGAATTTGAATAGAATGCATGAAGTTTGGGGACAGGGTGTGGGGGAATGTTGCTTTTAGAGTTAGGGAACCTTCTGATTCCTGGCAAACCCCACACTGCTGGGAGCTGAATGAAGAAGATGATGAAGGGTCTCCACACACAGCACACAAAGCCAGACTGGGAAGGCACTGGGATGGTCCAGGTTAGGAGAATCTACACCTACAAAAAGAACCCCATTCAAACAAGAGCTGTGAGCAACAGATGCTGCAAAGAATGATATTCAGATTTGTTCAGTTTGCCTGGGTGAATCTCTCCATCTCCATCACTTTCTCAAAAGATAGAGGATGTTTGGTTTAAACATTCACCAGAGTCCACCCATTATGCATTCCAGCTACAGCACACCCTTCAGAGTCAACACTGTCAGCTGAACGCAGAACACTGGAAAGGACGCCCTGCTCCATGCTGATGGAAGGTGAGCCAGTGTCCCAGCTCTGAAATGAGATACAAAAACTAGAAACCTGCTCCCAGTAGCAAACCAGAAACATCAGAGACAGATGGTTCTTGAATCTTTTTTGTCCAGGCTCAGTCATGCCTCAGTTACAAAAAACCACATGGATTTGTCTATATGAACACAGAATGCACTTGGACTTGCACAACTTTAGCTGCCCAGTTTTGAACACTGAAGTACAAAATAAGTGCCAACTGGAAGAAATAATCAAAACTAGAAAATAAGGTCTACAAGCAAAACCTGAGGAAACTAGAGTTGTTCTGTATAAAGAAAAACAAAGAAACCCACAAGCATTTTTCATAACATGATTTCAGAGGGCATTGCCATGACTATAATTCTTTAGCTGAAGGTAAAAACATACATGCTCACTAGAAGCTAATTCTAGTTCTTTAGTTAAACCAGAGATCTAGAAGCCACTACCTCTGTGGAGAATTTAATTTCATGTTCCAGGGGTGCAGAGGATTAGTTTGTGATATGCAACTTACTCACAGAGGATTAGTTTGTGATATGCAACAGAAACAAGTTTTTAAGAAGATACACACCAAAAGTGGATTCTCGGTCCTCGACCCACTTGAGAGCCCAGTCTGCTTTCTTCTTGACACAAGGCATTGTTTCAATAGCATTAAATAAGAAATCCCTGTAAAAGAAAACAAAGAGCAAACATTAAAATAGTGATTTATGTAAATCTGCCCTGGTTGTCCCTACTGGCTCTACCAGACAGAGGATCCCATTATTCAAGGCTCTGAACTAACCCCAGTAAGAGACCATTCCCACCCCAAAGGGGTGATGATCTGTCCTGGTTTTGACTGGGATAGAGTTAATTATCTTCCTAGTCGCTGGTACAGTGCTGTGGTTTTGATTTAGGATGGTAATAATGTTGATAACACACTGTTTTAGTTGTTGCCAAGCAGTGTTTACACTAAGTCAAGGACTGTTCAGCTTCTAACCCCACCCCACCAGTGAGCAGGCTGGAGGGCACAAGAAGATGGGAGGGGACACAGCCAGGACAGCTGACCCCAAATGGCCAAAGGCATATTCCAAGCCATATATCACATCACACTCAGAATATAAACTAAGGGGAAAGCTGGCTGTGGGCTGCTGCTTGGGAACTGGAGGGGTAACAGTCAGCAGACAGTGAGCAATTGCATTGCGCTTGTTTCGTATACTCTATTATTATGATTTTCATTTTCAGTCCTATTAAACTGCCTTTATCTCAAGCCTTGAATTTTACCCTTCTCCCCAATTCTCTCCCCAATCCCAGTGGGCAGGGGAAGGCAGTGAGCAAGCAGCTGTGTGGTGTTTAGCTGCCTGTTGGGTTAAACCACGACATGATTGCTGGTAACAAGGGCAGAGGGAGGCAGATGTGCAGAAAGCAACAAACCCAGGGCTCAGAGGAGGCAAGCTGCAGAGATGGGAAGTGAGCTCAAACGTCCCATCCCAGGAGTGCTCACCCACCAGACCATATTGCCTCTCAGACTTCAAGCCTAGCCAGTGAGCAAAACCTCATCTTGCCCAACTCCATGAAAGGAACTGGGCAATTCCCATGTGCACAGACTCTGTTCCCATGCTGAACACGTGAAAGAAAACTTTGCAGTCCTCTGTCACCACACCGATGCCACTATGGGAAGCCAAGCTCTGCCTGACTATCACCACAGTGGAGTTTCTGAGGGAAACTGTTGCTTTTCAAATGTATTACTCTTTGGACTAGGAAGTTCTTCAGGCAACAAAGGTGATAGGGCCCTCCAAAGAACTCAGTCATTCAAAAATAAGCAGTTGAAGTTGTAAGTAGTTGCACCAACAAACAGAAAAGCCGCATATTTGAAACACCAGCTGGATCACAAGCACTCAGTTTCCTCAGGTCAATCCTTTGCTGATGTGAGAGCAAGCACTGCATGAGCATGATAACCACAAGGAGCTCATCTAACCTTTAACAACATTTCACATAGTCTGTACTACCTGCAAAGATTTCTACAAGAATTAACTACCCTTCTGACACTCCCACACAAGTCTTGGCCAGTAATACTCTTCTCTGTTTTGGGAGTCAGGTGTGCAGGCCTTGAAAGCTTTAAGGAACCTTCCCCAGTAATGAAACAGAAGACAACTGCTGCTGCTGCCCCTCAACAACAGTGCCACTGGCCTAGGTGACAGATTTCCCACAGGTCTGAAACACATCCAGAGGTTTACCTTTTCTCAGGATCTTTGATGTAGGTGTCTATGAGCAAGCTGTACATCTCTGAGTGAACATTCTCAATGAGAATCTGAAAGCCATAGAAACAACGAGCTTCTGGGATCTGCACCTCCTGACTAAAACGTGCAACCTACCAAAACCAGAAAGCATGGCAATGAGTACAGTAAAACAGTCCTGTGACACTACTCTGAGCTTAACAGGAGAGACAACAGATCTCTGCCACAGAGACAGGATGGGAGCAGTTTAGTCCTACTTTGTTCATAGATATGTGATGAAGAATGTAAAGCAAGCTAGCTAGAAATAAATACATCTGCTATGCAAGTTGGATAGAGAGCTGAAGCATGAAGGCACAGCACACAGGAGAACAGCAAAATACTGCAATACTAAATACTTCATATTGAACAAAGTCTCATATTTTTTGTTCATTGTTAAAAAAATAAACCTTATGACATAAGTTGTATTCATGCAATACATGCACATATGTTCTACACGTTCTAGACATTCGAGATTTAAACTGGGCATTTGCAGACAGATACCACTGATAACCTGTGGTGAGCTATTCTCCAGCCCAGAACAGATCTAAGCAGAAAGATTTCCCCACCTACTTAGCAGCACCCACCTGCAGCCCTAGAAGATTCTAGGATGCCATTCAGTGACAGCAAAATGGATTTTGCCCAAAGGAGGAATACAGACCATGGCACAGCACAATCCCTCCCTACTTCTTATTTAACACGAATACAGGAAGAAATGTGGCGTTCTAGTAATTCTTTCCAAAATGCAGATCAACACAGCCAAGCAGGGGCTGAACTTAAAAACTATGTCCAAGAGTGATGAGATTTGGAGTCCTGCTGACCACAGTTGACCCAATTTAACTCAAACGCTACTCCCAGAAGAACAAGCTGCTTCTTCCCCTTGGCAAAGGTGAGATGATGGAAAGGAAAAAAAAACCTGCACATTTAATAAACCTATGCTTTAATGCAAGAAAGCTAAAACGAAAAGTCAGTAAGCCAATAAAATAAGTATTCAAGCCCTCTGCAAATCTTTCTCACCAGGTTTTCATTTACAATTCCATCACTGGCTGCAAAAAATGCCAGAACATGAGAGATAAAGTATTTTTCATCTGCTTTCAGCTTGTCCCAGTGAGGAAGGTCCTTTGACAAATCAACCTATTGGAAAGAAAAAAGAAAAACATTATTTCCCTTCTGAGTTTGCCATCCTGTAAGAACAGAAGCAGCCCAGTCAAATGACTGAGCCAGAGTTTTGGCATTTGCTCTCAAATCTTTACATGTAGAGAATTTAAATACATGTGACTGTAAAAGACAACAGACACACTGTAGTACTGCTGTCTCCCTCTGCAACAGTAAGCTCATGTGCTTGCTTCACAGTTTACACTTTTGTAATTTGGAATAAAAATCAGTGTCTATTGAAGAAGGCCATCAGATTTTGAAAAGCATTAGCTGTATGAACAGCTGACTCTGAAACACTTACACTTTACTTGAAATAAATGCTGATACTCCAGGAAAGCTATACCCAAGCATGCCAAAAGATGGACTGAGAGGACTTTTGCCTTTGGCAGGTGTTCAGGCTCCATCCTGTCAAAGAATGGCATGGAGCAAATGCTGTGCAACTGCTCATCTACCAGACAGAACTCTAGCCATGGTAGAAAACCACAACTTCCTCCACATGGGCCATTTTTGCTTGCTTGTTTGAGGGATTTCTGAACCACAGCAACAGTTAAGTAGAGCCAGATGTGAAAAATAAGGATGCCTAAAAACTTAGATGTGTATACATGTGTACATAAACTTGTAGTGTGTCTATAAACATATACACAAAACCCAGTTTTACAGTTAACTTTAGAATTCATTTGGAAACGCATGCACAGATGGGAGGACAGTCTAAGAAGGAACCAGTAATATAGTAAAAGGGAAATGCTGATGAGGCAGAAGTTCAAATGCCTTTTCTTCAATGGCTTAAATCAATCTCTGCTGCAGCAGGGCAGCAAGCCTCCCAGGCAGGCAATGGAATAGCACTTCTATGAGCAGCTGCTCCTCATCATCCCAGGATGCTTTCTGACCTATTTAGAGACAGTGCCTTCACAGAATCATAGAATTTAGGGGTTGGAATGGACCTTACAGATCACCTAGTCCCAACCCTCCCTGCCATGGGCAGGAGCACCGCCTCACTAGATCAGGTTGCTCAAAGCCTCATCCAGCCTGGCCTTGAACACCACCAGGGTTGAGGCAGCCACCACATCCCTGGGCAATCCGTGCCAGTGTCTCAGCACCCTTATAGTAAAAAACTTTTTTCTCATATCCAATCTAGGCTTTTCCTCCTTCGGTTTGAACTCATTACCCCTTGTCCTATCACTGCAGTTCCTAACAAAGAGTCCCTCTCCACATCCCTTGTAGGCCCCTTCAGATACTGAAAAGTTGCTATGAGGTCTCCACACAGTCTTCTCTTCTCCAGGCTGAACAGCCCCAACTCCCTCAGCCTGTCTTCATAGGGGAGATGCTACTGTCCTCTTATCAACTTCGTGGCCTCCTCTGGACTTGCTCCAACAGTTCCATGCCCTTCTTATGTTGAGGACACTAGAACTGCATGCAGTATTCCAGGTGGGGTCTCACAAGAGTAGAGTAGAGGGGAAGAATCACCTCTTTTGACCTGCTGGCCACACTTCTTTTGATGCAGCCCAGGATATGATTGGCTTTCTGGGCTGCTACCACACGCTGCGGGCTCATGGTGAATTTCTCATCTACCGTCACTCCCAAGTCTTTCTCCTCACTGTTGGTTTCAATGACTTCATTTCACTCCTCTGCAATAGCAGATCACTGGTCACAAACGAGCAAAGGCTGCATAAGCTTTGAGTTGGAACAACCAGCTCTGCTGCCAGGTATTCTCTCCAAAGCAGTGCAGTGCTCAGAAGCCTGCACTGCTGCAAGCAAAGCAAGCTGAGTACTACTCAGATCTGGCTAACCAGCAACCTCAGGGAAGAACTCACAGCTGGAATTATAAATATGGTGCAAGCATCTCACCAGGGAGATCAAGAGTCAGAAGCATTTTTAGCAAGTGTCCCTGATTAACACCATGTTTCTGGAAGTTAAGGTACCTGATATTAAATAACAGCATTCACCTGAAATTGCCCAGAACATCTTACATGGGCAAGGAGCTAGCTGCAGGTACAGAGACCACAGCAGGGTAAGAGCTATCTGACCAAAATCAGACTTAGGATCTCTTTATAACCAGAGAAGAACTCCAGGATATAATTCCACCTCATCCTAAACCAAACACCTAAACCAGCTCTGCTGAATTGCCCTGTGGAAGCAACTTGCTTCCCACTGTCCGTGAAGGGAGTTCTGATTTGGCGCTGGCCCCTCATGTTCGATGCAATTACCTCCAACACTTACAACACAGAAGTCAGCAGCAGAGCTAAGAAACAAGCACCAGGACCCCAGTGCCAACCCACTGGTCCCAGGGCTCACCTCTTCTGCTGTCCAAAAGGAGGCCTGAGCTTGCTTATACATCTTCCATATGTCTGGGTACTGGATGGGGAAGATGACGAACCGACGGTGATTTTTTCTGAGAAGAGGCTCCTCATCAGGGTCCAAGTCATTTTCAGCAGCACTCGGTGAGGAGCTCTGAAAACAACACACAGTTTTGGTCAAAGTTACCATTACTGATTCCTCCTCTTCCCCATATCCCAAACGTGTGGTTCAAAGGTCCTTGTGTCACACAGACACTCACCTGCCCCCCTTGGGTGGACACAGTACCCATCCCTGGGGTACCTGCCCCCTCGCCCTCCATCCGTGCTGCTGGGGCAGCAGCACTGCCAGTCTGCTCAGCTCTACCCAGCACAGCTCACACCAACCACCCTCTCCCAGGTGTGCCAGTGCCAGGAAATGCCTGACACCCACGTGCCAAAGACAAAGCCTCTCTGCAGCATGAGAAGGAGATCTGCCCTGGGAGACAACATCAGCCACTGCAGTACCACACACAGGGAGACAGGGGCGAGGTCACTGCACAGTGCTGTGACCACCAGCCAGCACAGCTCCATGAGATTACACAACTGATCCCAGTTGACAGAGGACACCCCTGTGCCTCATGGAGGTTTGTGTATGGACTCCTGTGGCGGACAGAGGCCAGTCAGCACACCAGTGTGGGTCTGCAGGCTGCTCTGGAGGCTTTCCCTCAAGTGTCAATATGAAGCTATGTGCCTCTCTTTCCAACAGCTGGCAGCAGGAAAACCTCTGCCTGAAGTCACCCATCTCCACTCTGATCCTTCTGTGTGGGCTCCCAGAGAACACCCGTGCACAGCTCTTGCCCAGAGAGCTGTCAGCCCAGTGAAGGCCAGTGACAAGAATCACAGAGAGGGCACTCCATAAGCAGGGCCTTCCCCTCACCTGCAGCTGGGACATCTGCCCCCAAGATCAACACCAGGTGACATCCCTGCCAGGCACATCACCAAGCACCTACTGAAGACAACCATTGTGAACAGCTGCCAGGACAGCCTGCTGCAACCTCCTCAGAAGGGCTGGAGACTCACACTGACCAGAAGTTTAGCCAGCAGGATGCCCTTCTGGGTGGGTTCTGAAATCCCACTGACACTGCTCTAGGGGATAAGTAACCACAGGCAGCATACAAGGTATAACATATAATACAGCAGGGAAGGGGAGCGCAAGGTTTTGAACGTCATTGCTTCTACCCGACTAGGAGGTGCCGAAGTCCTTTCCCT